ACCGTTTCAAACAGCCTCTTGGCCTCCTCGTCTCGCTCAGGTCCACCGCCGCTCTCGCCGTTGCCAGTGCGCGCCCACCTCCTGCTTCGATGCCTGCAGACGATCCTCCTCTGTTCCGGCATTGGTGGCGGAGAGGGGGAAAAGAGGGGGTGGCCTCATCTCAACTCAAGTGCCTCCTGCTTCGCTGCGTGCATGCGATCCTCCTCCGCAAGAGAGAGAGGAGAGAGAGAGCGAGAGAGAGAGAGAGAGCATGAGTCCCTCCCTAGCTATTAAGCCTCTCCCTAGCTCATTCTTCTGTTTAGTTTCAGTTCTTCTTTTCTCCACCCTTGGTGGCGGCTCGCGCATCGGCGGCCTCGGCCGCCGACGCTCGCGCGCGGCCTTGGCGCGCGTGAGGGGCGGCAAGTACACACGGTTACAATCAACTAGACAACGGCAAACACAAATCCGGGTCTACAACCTGCCAACACTACACTCGGCAGACCAGCATGGAGAGCCTCACCGAGCTTATCAGAGCGCTCACGCTGGGGCGCACTTCACCAACAAGGACCTATACACGACGGGAGCCCGTCATGCGACTTGGTCCGCTCCAGCTTCCTCAAGCAGGGCCTTCACATAGTCCCCCAGGAGCATCAGCGCTGACACCGCGCCGCCAACGATGTCTACAGCTGCAGCCGAGTCTACGCTTGCCGATACTGCCCGCATCACGGCGAGCAGGCGCGGGTCCAACACGGTTCCCGAGGCGGGCGCAGGCTGCACTCGCGTTGACACGACAGCCAGATCAGCTGCAGCCATCGCACAGCGGTGGAGTGGATCATGCGGCATCTTGCACGGGCTCGCTGAGCTCCGTAGAACGGAGTGCGAGTCCGTCAGCATCTCCACAACATACCCCATCGCCCGCTGCGCGTGCCAGAGCCGACGAAGCGTGGCGACTGGGATCGCAGTCTCCGCCAGGCGCTCCCTCCCACGCAGGCGCTCCAGCTGCGCCCTCTGCGGCATCCGCAGCCCAACCGAGCGACGCCGCCCCTGGTCCCCAGGAGGCAAGTCTCACCGGTGGACTCAGCCCCCCCATCTCCGCTGCTTCTGCCCCCCCTCAACTCCAGTCGGCGACGCCAGCGCGCGACGAGGGGGGACAAAGGGCGCTGTCGCCCGATCGCCGAACGACGCTGGAACCATTGACGGAAGCTGGCCGTGGGGCCATCCTACCACCAATGCATCCAGGGGCTTCGGCTGCCAGGGCGGCAGGGTCTCCGCGGACTGCACGTTCAGCTGACGTGGATCGAGGGGACCGACAGAGGGGAGGATCGGCGGTGGAGGTGCGGACAGAGGAGGCGGCAAGAGGTGCTGGCTGTCGGGAGCAGGGGGGACGTCACAGCATGCGGCGGGAACACCTGCGCCGGCACCGGTGGCGGCGGGAAACGCGCCGGCTGCTGGTGCGCCTGCTGGTATTGCTGGGATGACAGAAGCTGCGGGGAATACGCTAGAGCCGGCTGGGGTTGGGCGACAGCGCGGACCAAGCCCTCGAGAGTCGCGGCAGCCCGCCCCAGGCGCCTCTCCGCTGCCGATCCGCGGTTACTCCCCCGCCAGCCCTCCAGCCGACGCGCTGGCCCGAACACCCGCGCGGCGCCTGCGGAGTCCGATGCTGCTGCACCGGCTCCAATTGCAGGCGGCGCTGGGCGTCCCACGGCGAGAGGAATGTTGCTGGTGCGACGGCTGATGCACCTCGCCATGCGTCACAGGTCCACGACCTGTCTCCAAGGCGTGCTCGGGAGATTTCTCCTCGTGCCTCTACGGCGCGGATGGTCGACTCCGCGATCGCCCACGCATCCGCTCGAGGGTCAGTTGGCGAGCCGTCGAGGGGACGAGGAGCCCACGCTCCCAATCACGGCTTGACTGGGCAGGAGGACTCGCCTGACCTTGGGGGGGACACACTATCCCCGGTGCTCTCCAAATCGGAGGAGCGTTCACGAACGGGTCGGCCCAGCCCGAACCTCGATGGCTGGACCATCACGAAGCGGCGCGCTGCTCTTGGCTCCCCCCACGACTCGGCACGAACGTCGGACAGCGACCGGGGTAGCCCCGAGAGGAAATCAAGGAGGAGGACGCGGAAGACACGATAGGCGGGCGGTAAGAGGGCGCGGTCGCGGGACGGCTAGGAACGGCGATTTGTCCTCCGACGGAGGACCGCTGAACGGATTCCAGCAGGCTGCGAACAGGGCTTTAAGAGCTTCAGAATTGCAAGGAACAACTGGTGAGGAGGAACGGGCCGATGGAACCTATATACCCGGGGAGCAGGGGGAGTCCACAACTGAGACATCCAGTGACGAGGAAGGCGTCGAGACGAACAGGCGCGCTGGAGTAAGAGAAGCTGGCCCAACCCCCAGATCTAGGGGACGAGGGTCCAGCCGCATGCGTAATACTCGGGCACCGCTGGACACCCATCCCCAGGCGGCTCCGCAGCTGTCCCCAGAAGAGCTGGCAAATGACGCCTCCCGATTCGCCGAGATCGCCAATTGGGACATCGCAATTCTCTGCGACAGTCGCCAACTCCCTCTCTCCCGCCGGTTACCCCCCCAAATCCGTCAACTTTTTCGCGTTCGCCTTACTGACACCCCTCCTTTTCCTCGCCAAACATCCAACCTCCATCGAGGGTTGGATCCTGTTACTCTACCTCCCGTGCCTCACCCTTCGCCTACCTTCACCGAGACGTCCTGATTGGCCCCCGGCGGAAAAAACGCCTTCGACAATTTCTCGCGGGTCAATGGGACACACTGTACCAAGCAGTCGCTTCCGCTGTCACCCTGCCACCCCCACCCCGCCACGTACCTGACACCCTTGGAAAAATATCCCGAGCCGAGGGATTGGTACGACGCGGCAGCTTGCGACGGGCACTGCTCGCGTTGACTTCAACCCCAGTCAGCGAGTCCACCCCCGCGGTCCTGGATGCGCTGAAGTCAAAACACCCCCCCCTGCTCGTCGAAAACCTCAGCTGGCTGTAGCTGGACGAGGACTGCAGATCGCCGACAATCGACTTCGCTGATTTCGCGAAGCTCCTCTCTCGCTGTGAAAATGGGGTTGGAGCGGGGCCCTCGGGAATGACCTTCGAGCACCTTCGCGATGCCTCGCTATCCAACCCCTCGGTCGCCAAACACCTTCACGAGCTCGTTCAGCGCCTAGTTGCGGGTAACCTGCCACACGAAGTCAGCCAGCTCATGACTTCTTCATGCCTCCTGGCACTTACCAAACCAGATGGGGGTACTCGCCCCATCGCTATAGGCGAGTGTCTGCACCGACTAGCAGCTAAATCCGCACTCATCTCCTCAACGCAGCCGGCGCAAGACTATTTCCTACCACACCAATTCGGGGGTAGCTATCACGAGCGGAGGAGAAATCATCATCCACGCCACCAGGGGTTTTACCTCCGCGCACCCGGGCTCGCTGATTCTGCAAGTCGACCTCTCAAACGCGTTCAACAGCGTCGACCGCGGGCCATCATTCACGCCATCAATAACTCGCCCCTGCGCCCCCTCCTACCGTTCATACAGTTCTCGTATGGGGCACCGTCCCTGCTTTACCTCGACGCAGAGTTCGGTAGCCCACCCCTACTGAGCGCGCGGGGAGTCCGCCATGGGGACCCCATGGGCCCCCTCCTCTTTGCGGCTGCCATCCACCCAGCACTCCAGGCCACCGCGGCGGCCCACCCCGGGGTTCTCTGCCTCGCTTACGCAGACGACGTAACTTTCGTGGGCGATCCGGACGCCTGCACCTTGGCGTTCCTAGACTTCACTGCCGCCATGGAACGCATCGGTCTCTCCCACAACCACGCAAAATGCGCAGCATGGTCAGCCGAGCGCCCTGCGACTGCCTGCCTTCCGCCAGACATACCTTTCAACAGAGACGGGGTCCGCGTGCTTGGCAGTTTTACAGGCACGCCAGAAGGCACAGCCGGCTTCCTCCGCACCCAGCTGGCCGTGCTTGCCGAACCCCTCGCCACACTGGCCACGATGGACCCACAGTCCTCCTCCCTCCTCCTCACACGCTGCGTATCCAGGCGCGTCTTGTACTTAACCCGCACCACCCCCCTTGATTTCCTGCCCCTGGAGGTCTGGTCCGAGTGGGGCAGAGAGCTATTCCACACCCTACTACGCGCCTGCAACCTCCAACCATCACGAGTCAGAGCAAGCGCGTACCTGGGCCCAAGCGTCCCTCCCTCCCTCTCTCGGAGGGCTGGGGCTCACCGACCCAGCGATTGAAGGGCATCCAGCCTTCCTCACCAGCGTCACCCAAGCCCAGGGCCTCCTAGCTGCCCTCCCAGCAGCGTCCAGAGGGCCCCTAGCCGACTCTGTACGCCACCTCACACCACCCTTCACCAGCCCCACCCACTTGCATACCTGGCTGGCGAAGTGTGAAACGGCGATGCCCCCAAGGGCCCTGGAGCTTCTACAATCCGAGCGGGGGGAACCCTCGGGCTCCCCTCTCCAACACCGCCTTTCCCTCGAAGTCCAGGCCGTGCGGTACGCCGACCAGGTGGCGACCTCGCGGACAATGGACCCAAACCCCCACTCCGGCCATACGCAGCACCTCTTCTCCTTGGCGAGATATGGAGCAGGAGATTTGCTCCATGCCATCCCAATCTTCCCATCCCTCCGCCTCGAAGCTCCACACTTCGCCATTGCCCTGGCCTTCCGCCTCGGCCTTCCGTTCCCAGCCCCCGCACCTGCAACTGCGCCGAGGAATTCGAAATCCTCGACACAAGGCTGCCCAACCACCTTTTTCGGTGTGGCACCGGGCACGGACGGACAGACACCCATAACGCCCTGCGGGATGAAAGCATCCGGATGGCCCGGGACGCTGACTTCATAGTCACCAAGGAAACCACCATCTACAGCCCTGTGGACGGCCACAAGGCCGACCTCGCACTTCGCGACCGCAGCTCCGGCGCTGTCTGGATCTGTGACGTCACCGTCACAGACCCCATCAGCAGCCGGGACCCGGACGCACGAAAAGGTCGAGGATACATGGCCCGAGAGCAGGCCGATAAGAAAATCCACCATTACCGCAACAGGGCTCCCTACGCTGGTTTCTTCCCACTGGCGGTCGAGACATACGGCTGCCCCTGCGCCGAAGTCCCCACCTTCCTGAAGCTGCTGGCAGACACAGGTGCCAGGAGGCTCTTCAACGCGGACCCCACTTCCTACCAAGCAGCAAAACTGCTCCACCAGTTCCGCCAACGCTGGTCAGTGACGCTACAGCGGGCGCAGGCCTTGGCTTACCTGGGCAAGGTTAATGAAGCCTCCCCTGCCCCCCACACCCCCGTGGGCACCCCTGACGCCGACATGGCACCTGGGGACTGCTTTGCCATAGCAGAGCCCCTAGGGGAGCTCGAGTAGAATCGAGCCCCTAAACATGCACGTACATTGACTTGTTGCCTCTTGCCTGCCTAGCCTGTACCCAGGATTCCAAGCAATAAACGGACCGCTTGAGGGAGGAAAGAAGGAGAGAGGGGGGAGAGTAAGGAGAGGCTGTGCTTTGAAGTGCCTTACAGCACAGCACATGGTTGGAACTGCAGGAAAGCCGTTCACTCATCCCTCCATCCCCTCTCAACCCTCACCTCGTGTCTTTTGAGTTGACTCAAAAGTCATCCCGTGCACTCATCCCTCCATCCCCTCTCAACCCTCACCTCGTGTCACCTCCTCCGGCGGAAGCTTCAGCACCTGCTCGTCCAGGTCCTTTGAACTCGCTCTCACTAGTACCATCTCCATCACCCAGAGCTCCTCACGCCATCACCCATGACCTCTAAACCCTGACCTCGCATGGCCTCACTCACCCCCGCTCACCTGACCTCAACCCCGCTCACCTAACCTCAACCCCGCTCACCTCGCATGACCTCCTGCTGCAGCCTCTGCGATGCTCTTCCAAGTCCTTGAACTCACTCTCTCTCGTACCATCTCCACACGAATAAGCCTTGCGCCATCACCCATTACCTCTCACCCATTACTTCTCACCCATTACCTCTCACCCATTACCTCTCACCCATTACTCGGAACCTTAAACGCCTCACTGCCCCTCACCCCGCATGACCTCCTGCTGCAGCCTCAGCAGCTGCTCGTCCAGGTCCTTGAACTCGCTCTCTCGCTCCCGCACCTGGCGGGGTGAGATGGGTGGATGGGCGGATGAGAGGGCATATATGATGCATCATATGGCTGAGCATTGGATTCGCTGCGCGGCCACATCCTTGAACTCACTCTCTTGTTCACGCCCCTGGTGGGTTGAGATGGGATGCGATGGATGGGATGGGAGAGTAACCATGGCATGGGTGTGGTGTGAGCAGGGTGCATGCATGTGCATGTGCGCAACGTGTATGTGATGTGCGCATGGCGCATGTGATGTGAACACATGTCAACATGTGAGAAACTCCTTATCATGGCGAGGCGGAAAGGTACCAGGAAGGTGAGGTTGTAGGAAGTTACCAGGAAGGTGAGCTCGTCTACTGCGAGTTGCAGGGAGGAGAGACGGCGCTTCTCCTGCCACAGGCCGAGCAGGTGCTTCTGGGGGAGGTGAGGAGGAAGGGAGGGGGAGAGGGGAAGGGAAGCACACACAGACTCTATCAGTCCTGCCACAGGCCGAGCCGGTGCTTCTGGGGGAGGTGAGAAGGGAGAAAGGGGGAGTCGAGGGGGACACACACACACACGCACACGCACACGCACGCGCGGGCGCGCGCGCGCGCACGCACGCACGCACGCACGCACAGACTCCATCAGCCGTGCCACCAGCCGAGCAGGTGCTACTGGAAGGGGGGGGGGTGGAATGAGGAGAGGAGGGGGGAGGGGCGAGGGGGAGACTAGCGATGACGCGAAGGTGTTTCTGAGGAGGGAGAACACGAGGAAGGGAAGGAGCGATCAAGAGGAAAGACAAAGAAAGCGGAAGGAACGAAGAGAAGAATAGGAGGCAGAAGGAATGAGGAACTGTGGTTAAGTAGTTTAGTTTTGAGACATCTCAAAACTGAACTGGTTAACCATGGAACAAGAGAGGGGAAGGAATGAGGAACAAGAGAACAGAGAGGGAGAACGAAGGAAAATGAGAGAAGGAAGAGCAATGCAAGAGGCCTGCTGGCACCCACATGCATCTTCTTGGCGTTCCCTACCTGCCGCTCTATGATCCGAGCAATGTCGCCCCTCGCCCACCTCTCCATGTAACCTACAGTCCAACTGTTGTGCCACTAACATGTGTCTTTTTGGCGTTGGCCAGCTGTCTGCCCATGACGTTTACAATGTCCGCCCTCGTTTTGAGGCACCTCTTAAAAGTATGTCCACTTGTGCCCTCCACACTCCACTAAACCCACAACGCATCTTTCCATGTGCCACCCACATGCGTCTTCTTGGCGTTGGCCAGCTGCCTGTCCATGATGTTTGCAATGTCGGCCCTCGCCCGCCTCTCCATCTCCTCCATGTCCTCGCTGCGCCCCAGAGACGCCACCAGCTCGCGCTTCTGGACTGAACGCGGTGAAGAAGGGGGGGGATAGGGGAGAAGGGGGAACATGGAATAAGGAGGGGGTGGGGGGGGGTGGGGGGGAGGGACATAGACTACAGAGTTCTAATTTCGTTAAAAAATAAAACATCGCAATCGCAAAAAAACGATTTTTTGCGATGCGATGTGATTTATTCCGCTGATGTCGGGAGGGGTGGTTAGGGTGGGTGGGCTAAGGGTTTAGAAAGGCGAGTGGCACTGAGCCAGAGGTGGAAGGGAGAATTTACCCTCTTTTATTTCTAGTAGCATTTCTAGCAGTCGCTGCCACACAAAGTCATGGCGCTCAAGTAGTAGTCCCGTGGCGCTGAGCCAGAGGTGAGAGGGTGATTTCCAGAGCAGAACGCATATGAGGGATGAAACGTCCCACTGATCCCACTGTTCACTTCATCCCAAAACTGCCCCACTGATGGTGCAAGAAGACAAGTATGAGGAGGGATTGTTTTAGAATTTTCAAGTAGGAGGGGGAGAGGGGAGGGGGGGAGGAGGAGGGACAGTGCGTTGCCCCCCCCCAGTACTCACCAATGCGGATGTGGAAGTAACAACCAGAACCTTCAACCAAAAACCTACCATAACCCAAACCCCAAACCTGAAACCTTCAGGACTCACGAATGCGGCTCTGGACGTCCTCTCGCTGCTTCTTCTGGCCCATGTACCGATTCACAATCTCCTCCTGCGGGGTTCAGAGCGGTGCAAGGCGGTGGCTCAGTGCCATTAGAGAACTGCGATGCGAAACCTTCACTCCCCAGTGATATTAGCTTGTAAAGTGACAAGGGGCCATATCCTGTGGAGGCTGACATGAAAGAACGCCCTGCTTACACGGTCACTCCCCTCCTCGGCCACCATCCCTTTTCTCCCCTCAATCTCTGACTGCGCTCCCTGCACCTTCCACTCCCACAGTCCCACTCCACCCGTCACTCCCCACTCACTCCACCCCTCACTCCCCACTCACTCCACCCGTCACTCCCCACTCACTCCACCTGTCATTCCTCACTCACTCCACCCCTCACTCCCCACTCACTCCACCAGTCACTCCCCACTCACTCCACCAGTCACTCCCCACTCACTCCACCCCTCACTCCCCACTCACTCCATCCCTCACTCCCCACTCACTCCACCCCTCACTCCCCACTCACTCCACCCCTCACTCCCCACTCTCTCCACCCCTCACTCCCCGTCTCTCCCTCTCAGCGCTGTCGCTCTCACGTCTCTTACTGCGCCTCCAACACCCGCTGCTCGCACCTTTGCGTCGACTCAAAATGCTCCTCTCCTTGACCGCCAGGCCAGCACCTCTCCTGCACCTCCCGGACCCTCATTCTCCCCTCACTCAACCCCCTTCACTCCACATCCATCCCTTTCTCAAACCACCACACATGTTTCTTTTACCCCCTCTCACCCGCTGTCTCTCTCCCTTCTGCCCCCCTCTCCCCTGCTGTCTCTCACACAGAGAAGCCTCATTCTCCAGCTCCCACTGCTCCCGCTTCACCGCCTGCTTCTGCATGCGTTCCTGCACCTCCCTGCCCTTCATCCCCCCCCCTTAACTCTCTCTTTCGCTGTCTCTTCCACACAAGCCTCACCCGCTGTCTCTCGCACTGTGAGGCCTCGTTTTCAAGCGCCCGCTGCTCCCTCTTGACCGCCTGCATGCGCTCCTGCACCTCCCTGCCCCTCGCCTCCACCCTCTCCTTCTCCGCATGCAGCTGCTCCTCCTCCTGCAGCCCCGAATCTGACGCACTCAACACAGACACAGAGGAGCACACAGAGGAGCACAGAACACAGAAACAGGATGAAATGCATGACGTTTGCGAGGCCTCAAAATGTTTCTCTTCCGCCTGCACGCCTGAGTCTGGCGCACAGACACACATCGAGGAGGAAACACATGGCTTTGGAGACGCCTCAGGGACGCTCCTTCTCCTGCACGCCGGAGTCTGGTGCACAGACACACAGACACACAGAGGAGGAAATCCATGGCTCTTGAGACGCCTCACATACTTGCTCTTCCTCCTGCAGGCCGGGGCCTGATGTACAAATGAAGGAGGAAAGCACGCAAGGACGCCAAGAGGAAAGAAAAAGAGCATAAACATGGATACATTTGTACTGCACGAGCAGCACTTCCAGGGCATAGTCCGTGCAGGGCAGCAGCAGCTTGTAAGCAGTAAGCTGAAGGATGTAAACGTGTGCTTCAAGCCTATTCACAAGCGCTTCAGCAAGCTTGAGCCCACCTTAGGAGAAGAAGCAGGAGGGAGGGGCGCACGCACTGCATGCTGGCAGCTCTAAGGTGTATAAAGCGGTAACTGTTAGAATATCCTACTATGCTTATTAGCCTCCATAGATTCGTTAGTCTTGAGTAGACTTAAGCGCCCCACTACAAATAGGGTGTAATAACCCTAATTGGGGGTTGGGTTCCCAACATGGTTGGGGTCACAATTATTTGGGACCCCCAATAATCCCCACCAGGATTATTGGACCACCAATAATCCTGGACAGAATATTGATGGGGGCCAATAATCTTGGCCAACTCTCAACCGACCCCCCTTCCTAATTCTCACCTATGCAAGCTCCCTACTTTCCTAATCAATCCAGCCTTTTGAATTCTCACAGTAACAAGCAAGGAGGGCTATCGCTGTACCTTCAGCGAAGAAGCGGGAGGCGCGCACGCCGTGCATGCTGGCGGACACAGACCCGTTGTAGCGTGACCGCTGCCAGCGGTAGTGGCTGTCGGGCGTCCACAGGTCCTCCACGCCCCGGCCCTGTATGTCCTCCGCATGGCGGTCAGCGTCGCGTGACCCGATAAACTGAAGGAGTGTGAAAGTCAAGGGTATGAGTGAGAGGGGGAAGGGGGTGTGTGTGGCTGCCGGGTGTCCACAGGTCCTCCACACCCTGGCACTGTATGTCCTCCGCATGGCGATCAGCTTCCCGTGACCCGATAAACTAATGGGGAATGAGGGGCGATAGGAGAAGGGAGGGTGTGTGGCTTACTATCAGCGTCCAAAGGGGCTGATGGTACGGGTGTGTGGCTTACTATCAGCGTTCAAAGGCGCTGATAGTAAGGGTGTGTGGCCTACTATCAGCGTCCAAAGGGGCTGATAGTAAGGGTGTGTGGCTTACTATCAGCGTCCAAAGGGGCTGATAGTAAGGGTGTGTGGCTTACTATCAGCGTCCAAAGGGGCTGATAGTAAGGGTGTGTGGCCTACTATCAGCGTCCAAAGGGGCTGATAGTAAGGGTGTGTGGCTTACTATCAGCGTCCAAAGGGGCTGATAGTAAGGTTGTGTGGCCTACTATCAGCGTCCAAAGGGGCTGATAGTAAGGGTGTGTGGCTTACGGCCACACACCCTTTAGCCGCACGGCGTGTTCTATACAAGGTGTTGAAAGAACAAGGGAGATGGGAAGAGAGTGTGGGTTGACTCGCACACTGCATGCATGCACCATGGCACCCAGACACGCATATGCCAGAGCCCGCACTCGCTGACACGTGCACATGCAGATCGGAAGAGGTGCGACTGCTGGTTGAGCACGCGGCTGGTTGAGCACGCCGCTGGTTGAGCACACGGCTGGTTGAGCACGCCGCTGGTTGAGCACGCTGCTGGTTGAGCACGCCGCTGGTTGAGCACGCCGCTGGTTGAGCATGCCGCTGGTTGAGCACGCCGCTGGTTGAGCACGCTGCGCACCACTAAAAGCGTTATAGCACCCACACATGCATGCACACACCCGCAGCACTCACGGATCGGAAGAGCTGCGACTGCTGGTTGAGCACGCTGCGCACCACGGGCGCCGCGTTGAACACCTCGTCCAGGCGGTGCGTCACACCCAGGCGCTGCAGCTGGTGGGGAGGGGGGTTGGGAGGGCGTTGGGGTGGGGGGGGGGTGGTTTGTGATTGAGTCGACTCAGAATACACCAGGAGCAGCATTGAAAACCTCGTCCAGCTGGTGCGTCACACCCGAGCGCTGCAGCTGGTGTGTGGGGGGCGTGAGGAAGAGGGGAAGGAGGTGAGTGAGGGGGGGAGGCAGTGAGAGCGGAAAAAGAAGGGAGCATATCACCCACTCGTCCTTCACTCACGTGTTCATTCTTGCTCACATGTGCATCCATAACAGTAGATGGCAAGATTCAACATCACTCATGTCATATGTTTATCCACAGCCAGCCATGGCATGGTATGCACAGCACCACACATCACTCACATGTACATCCATATCTCACATGAGCATCCACCACCATGTCAAATGGGTCACTCACATGTGCATCCACTGCCATGGCATGTGCAGGTGGTCCCAGCTCCTCCGGTCGGCTGCTCTCATTAACCACTGCCATGCCCAGGGGCTTTAAGTGGCGCACAAGCAGATCCCGGTCCTCCGAGACTGTGGTCACGAAGGCCTGCAGGGGAGAGCAGAGGGCGACAATGATGAGTAGGTCCCGATACTGTGGTCACCCCCTGTCACGCCAAGCCGAGGGGCTTTAAGTGGTGCACAAGTAGATCCCGGTCCTCCGAGACTGTTGTCACGACAGCCTGGAAGAAAACGAGGCAAACCGACAGAGCGGTTCTATGGCAGCTCAGCATAGCGAGGCTGCTTTTGTTGCCGACTGCCATGCCCAGGGGCTTTAAAGTCGGCGTCTACATTTAGGTTGGCATTTCCCAAATGCTGACTGGCGAAAAATGTAATTTTGGCGAGGCCATTTTGCCTTCGTCATTTTCGGCGAGGGTGGGAGTCGAAATTGAGGGGAGGGGGAATCGAAATCGAGGGGCTGGGGGGAATCGAAATTGGGGGGCTGGGGGAAATCGAATGTGGGGAGCGGGGAAGAATTTGGACTGTTGGGGTGAGAGGAAGGAGAAATTGGGAGCGGGAGCCCTAAAGAATTGGGGGCTGGAGGGATCGGAATTGAGGGAGGGGGGAGTCAAAATCGAAGGGACGGAACAATCAGTCGTAAAATGTCGTAAATCACTGGAGCCCTGGCAAGAGCGAGAGAATCCTGGCAGGTATATGGGGTTACTGATTTTCAAATCTTTAAAATTTGAAATTCTCAACCTAAATGCACACTGGCTTTAAGTGGTGCACCAGCAGGTCGCGGTCCTCAGGGGCCGTTGTCATAAAGGCCCAACCCAGCAGGCCACATGGCACTTGGTCAACACACAAGCACGCTCACGCCACACGGTTTTCAAACAAAGCTCTTGATTGAAAAACTGCTCATTTTCCTCACCCACCCCGCCATGGGTCACTCACCGTCCACTCCCACCCCACCACGTGTCACACTCACCTCCACACCCACCCTGCCATGTGTCACTCACCTTCCACGGCCACACTGCCACGTCACTCACTGTCCACACCCACCCCGCCACGTGTCACTCACCTTCCACACCCACCCCGCCACGTGTTGCTCCAGGAAGGCTGCATGGGCGGCGGGGTCAATCACGTTCACCTGGTGGAGACAAGGTGGCAGGAGGGGCGGGAGGGAGCGGCAGAGAGAACGAGGGTGTATGGTCCCCCCGACACTCTCGTTGAAGAGAGAAGAGCAGAGGATCAAAACCTTGAGCTTCTGACTCCACAAACCACCAATGGGGCTGCTTGGGCGCTGGGGTCAATCACGTTCTCCTGGGGAGGACAAGGTGGCAGGAGGGGCGGGAGGGAGCGATTTTTTGAGTCGACTAAAAAATTGCGAGCGGCAGAGAGAACGAGGGTGTGGGAGCAGAGGATCAAAATCTTGAACTTCTGACTGAGCACACCAGCGAATGGGGCTGCATGGGCGTCGGGGTCAAAAACGTTCCCTTGGGGACAAGGTGGAGGCGAGAGTGGACGGGAGGCGAGAGGTGATGCATGGGGGAGAGGAGAGGGCACGGTTGGTACTTTCAGGGAGTGACCAGAGAGCAAATAGTAGAGACCAAGTGAGTGTGGGACCATGGGAGCCCCATTCTATTACCATGGTGATGCCAGCACCTGATGATACCATGACTGCAAAAGTCAGCACAGGACGAACGAACTCAGACACCACAGTTCACACCACATCACATCACACCACATCACACCACATCACACCACATCACACCACATCACACCCCATCACACCACATCACATCACACCACATCACACCACATCACACCACATCACATCACACCACATCACACCGCACCGCACCCAACACCGTTTGCTCATACCTATCCAGCTGGGCAGCCCCGTTCCTACCTCACCCGCCACAGGTCACATCTCCCCCCCCCCTCCCCCCGCACGCACGATCCCCACCTCGACTCAACAACCCCCCCCCCCCACTCGGCACGATTCCTACCTCAGCCAGGATGGGTCCATACACGGCGCCCTTGCACTGCGCGCGGTTGTGGTCCAGCCACTCGCACGCCGCCTTGATTGACCTGAAGTATCTCCCCCCCTCCACACCCCCGTAAAAGGAGCCTGCGTCTGAGCTGAGGCGTCTCACCTACCTTGATTCCCGTTTCTCGCGACCTGGTTCCTACCTCAGCCAGAATGGGCCCATACACAGCGCCCTTGCACTGCGCGCGGTTGTGGTCCAGCCACTCGCACGCTTGCATCAGCTCCCGGTCGCCCGCCCTCTGTATGCGCCGGTGGCGGCTGTTGGTCACATCGTGAATGCTGGGAGGGGCAGGCACGCGGGGCAGGCACGTGGGGCAGGCAGGCAGGGGAGGGGGCTTAAGGGACCAAGGGACCAGAACCCAGTGCCTCACACCCCGCCTTCAGGTCCCTGTCGCCCGCCCTCTGTATGCACCGGTGGTGGCTGTTGGTCACATCCTGAATGCTGGGGGGGGGGGGAGGGGGGGAGGGGCAGGCAGGTGCAGCATACATGGGCGAGAAGGGACTGATGGACTTAAACACCCTGTCTCCAGTTCTCATGCTGGTTTCAGCTCCCTGTTGCCGCCCACCCTGTCTACACGCCCCAGCTGCTCCCCCAGCACCCAATAGTCGGCTGGAGATTTGGCATAGCTGCTCTCTCTCACCCTCTCCCCCACCCTCTCTCACCGTCTCTCCATAGCTGCTCCCTAAACGCACTCAGCTGCTGCTGCTCCATCTGCCGCGCCTCCAACTCTTGAGTCAATACAGAAGCCTCACACCTCGTTCTCTCACCTGACCACTCACGCCTCCCCCTTAGCACCAGCCTCCACTCACCATCTCCCTCACACCATGCCCCCTCACACCATGCCCCTCACACCATGCCCCTCACATCATGCCCCCTCTCCCCTCTCATCATGCAGCTGCTCCCTCAAAACACTCAGCAGCTGCTGCTCCATCTGCCGCGCCTCCCTCTCCTGAGCCAGCTCAGAGGCGGATTTACGCCTCCCTCTCTCACCTGACCGCTCGCTCACGCTCCCCCCCATTCTCACCGCTTCTCCACGCGCTGCAGCTGCTCTCTCAGCACGCTCAGCTGCTGCTCCATCTGCCGCGCCTCCCTCTCTCACTCAGAAGTCGACAAACTCATGCCTCGCTCTCTCACCTGACCACTCACTCACACCTTCCCCCTCTCACTACCCCCCCCTCACCGCCCCCCCATTCTCACCGCTTCTCCACGCGCTGCAGCTGCTCCCTCAGCGCGCTCAGCTGCTGCTCCACCTGCCGCGCCTCCCTCTCCTTTTCCCCCGCCTGCATCCGCAGCTCCCTCCCCCGCTTCGACAACGGATCCTGGCCGTTGAAAGGAAGACGGGGAAGATGCGGGAAGGGGGGGGGGTGGACAAGCTATGGCTTCAGGAGAAACCCAGTATGCGCGTGTGCACATAGGAGAGGAGAAGCACCAGAGGCATGTCAGCTGTACTTTGAGAATTCTAAAAGACCATATCAGCTAGCAGCTGGAAGGGGTAACTTCAACCTTGGTGGTATTGGAGGAAGCTACCAACTCACTCCAATGTTCCTCCTGCATTCCCCATGGCTCCTTCACTCACCACCTGCGCCTTGGGCAGTTTCACTTCAGGCAGCGCGGCCAGCTGCGCCTGCAGCTGCTTCAGGTGGACCAGTGTCTGCACTAGGAGACACACACCGAGTCATGTCCCCCTCTTTCCCCACCTCCCGCATTCCCCACGACTCCTGCACTCACCACCTCCGCCTTGGGCGGTTTCACTTCAGGCAGGCCGGTCAGCTGCGCCTGCAGCTGCTGCAGCTCCTGCTGCGCCTTCGCCAGCCGCTGCTCTCTGGTCACGGCCTTGCGCCTCGTCTCCACTATGTCCCTCTCCCGCTCCACCGCTTGTTGCACCTGTTAGGGTTGAACGCATGACAAGCACACATACTACCCACTTCATCTCTCAACAAACAGCCAGCCACTGCTCTCTGGTCATGGCCTTGCGCCTTGCCTCCACAACGCCATCTCCCGCTCCACCGCGTGCTGGACCTGTTAGGGTTGGAGAAAAGAGAAAGAAGAGCTCATATTGCACTTCAACTCTGAAGTGCAGCCAGTCGCCAGCCGCTGCTCCCTGGTCATGGCCTTGTGCCTCGACTCCACTATACTTCTCTCCCCCTCCACCACATGCTGCACCTGTAGGGGCAAGGAGGACAGGGTACCAACCAGCAAAGGTTCAAACATGTAAGGCAAAACCGTGTGCCCCCTTTCTCTGCAGGTCCTGCTGTGCCTTCGCCAGCAGCTGCTCTCTGGTCACGGCCTTGCGCCTCGCCGCCATTATGTCTCTCTCGTGCTCCACCGCTTGCTGCACCAGTTGGGGTGGGTTGGAAGCATGGGGGAAACTATTTCTCTTCAGTTTCCTCCCTGGTCGACTCAAAAGCAGTTTCCTCCCTGGTCAGTGCCTTTTGCCTCACCTCCACTATGTTCCTCTCCCTCTCCACTCCACTCTGGACCTGTTGGGGTTGGCTTAGAGAAGAACAGCACATATCGTGCACTTCAACTCTCAATCAACTGCCACTGCCTCTCTCGTCACTGCCTCCCTGGTCAATGCCTTTGGCCTCGCCTCCACTATGCCCCTCTCCCTCTCCACCGCGTGCTACACCTGTACGGTCAAAGAAACAGCAGGAATACAAAACATCTTGAAGCGAATTCGTGGCAGGATTGTCTTCCCCTCCCCTCCACCTTTCCACCGACTCTATTGTCTGAAAGACGGAAGGTTGAAAGCACGATGAGAGGAGTCAAGGGGGGGTGAGACGTTAGGAGATCCACGAGCAGAATTCAAGGCAAAAGCTCCTCTGCCAGCTCCGCAGCCTGCTCTCCGTTGCCTCCTCCCACCTGCCAAATCCCCGTCTTTTATTGCTACCGCCAACCACCACGCCTTACCATGCATGCACCCTCTTCTCGCATCCATGGTAAGAGCGCACCAGCTGACCGCTCTTCTGCGTCCCTCGCCTCCTCCCACCTGCCAAATCCCCGCCTCTTCTGCGCCCCGCCAGCTGGCCGCTCTCCTCTGCCCGCCACCTCCAACAGCCTCCCCTCACCAACTACCTCTCTCATTGTGCCACCACGTCATGTGCCTCACAAGCTACCCGTCCTATTGCATCGCTAACCCCTGTGCGTCTCACCAGCTGGCTGCTCTCCTCTGCCAGCCACCTCCCGCAGCTTTCTCATCTCCCTCTTAGCAGCCACTTGCTCGGATAGAATGGCTACCCCCTTGCTTCTCACCATCTAGCCCACTTATGGCACCACTACCCCCTGTGCGTCTCACCAGGTGGTCGCTCTCCTCTGATAAATCCCGCAGCTTCCTCTCCCGCGCCTCGTTCTCCTTCCCTATCTTCGCCACCAGAGATGAAAACCCCGCCCGGCTCTCCTTCAGCACTCTGAGGGGGGAGAGCCAGGTGGAGCGGGAATCCGCACCAGGGGTAAGCATTGAGGCTGGAGGGAGGGGCTATTCTCCCGCCCTATCTTCGCCACCAACCAGAGAGGCAAACCCCGCGCAGCTCTCCTTCAGGGCTCTGAGGGGGGGAGAAAGTGGAAAGGTGGAGGGGGAAACACATTGAGGGAGGGGGGAGAGGGGTTGTTCTCCTTCCCTATCTTCGCCACCAGCAAGGAAAACCCCGCCCGGGTCTCCTTCCGTGCTCTGAGGGGGAGACAAGAGGGCGGAGGGGGGGGAGAGCGATGGAGGGAGGGGGAGCACGGAGGAGGGAGAAGAGGGGTCGTTCTGCCGCCCTGCCGTCGCTACCAGAGAGGCAACCTCGCCCAGCTCTCTTTCAGTGCTCTGAGGGGGGGGGGAGGAGAGGGCGGAAGAGGAAGGTGGACCACATGGGGTGAGAATGGAGGAGTGAGGGGAAGGGCCGTTCTCCTTCCAGAGTCAAACCCCGTCCGGCACTCCTTCAGGGTGCTGAGCGGTGGAGAGCGGTGGAGAGTGGTGGAGAGTGGTGCAGAGGGTGGAGGGCGGGGGGGAAGTCACAGGGGGTGAAACGCTGGCGGGGGAGGTGGGCAAGGGGCGGGGAAGAGGGGGAGGAGAGGTGGGCTAAGAAGGGGAAAGGTGAAGGGGAAGTAGGTATTGTGGGGGTGGAGGGGGAGAGGAATGGTGTGCTTCCAACCACAAGCTAGAGACTTGCAAAGACTGGCTAGAATTCGCATCCACACACTTTGGTCATACACTACTCACACGAGTGGGTCCTTGGCCGCCATGACCTGCGTCTGCAGGACGTCCCTCCCCTTGGGCATTCAATCAGAGGCGAACTTGAAACCACAGATTACACGCAGCAGCCCCACAGCACCTTGGGACTCACACCACTCACACGAGAGGGTCCTTGGCTGCCATGACCTGCGTCTGCAGGACGTCCCTCCCCTTGGGCATTCAATCAGAGGCGAACTTGAAACCACAGATTACACGCAGCAGCCCCACAGCACCTTGGGACTCACACCACTCACACGAGAGGGTCCTTGGCTGCCATGACCTGCGTCTGCAGGACATCCCTCCCCTTGGGCATTCAATCAGAGGCGAACTTGAAACCACAGATTACACGCAGCAGCCCCACAGCACCTTGGGACTCACACCACTCACACGAGAGGGTCCTTGGCTGCCATGACCTGCGTCTGCAGCGCGTCCCTCTCCCTGTGCCTCGCCTGCACCTCCCCCTCCATCTCCCTCACTCTCGCCTTCACCCGCTCGTACTTGAGCCACGGGGCCTTCTTCTTCATCAGCGCCACCTGAGAACGGGAAGGAAAGAGGGAGGGGGAGGGAGGGAGAGCGTGTGTGCATGTTACTTGGGTCAGGCCAGTCACCCTTCCCTCCATCTCCCTCACTCTCCCCTTCACCCGCTCGTACTTGAGCCACGGGGCCTTCTTCTTCATCAGTGCCACCTGAAGGGAGAGGGGAAAAAGGGGGGAGAGTGTGTGTGCCTGTTACTGCTGATTCTACTCGAGAGTCACCTCCCCCTCCATCTCCACCACTCTCCCCTTCGCCCGCTCGTACTTGAGCCATGGGACCTTCTTCTTTACCATCGCCACCTGAAGGGAGACGGTGGGGAGGGAGGAGAGAGGAACGGGAGGGAGAGTGTGTGTGCATGTTGCTGTTGAGTCACCTTCTTCCTTATCATCGCCACCTGAAGGGAGACGGTGGGGAGGGAGGAGAGAGGAACGGGAGGGAGAGTGTGTGTGCATGTTGCTGTTGAGTCACCTTCTTCCTTATCATCGCCACCTGAAGGGAGACGGTGGGGAGGGAGGAGAGAGGAACGGGAGGGAGAGTGTGTGTGCATGTTGCTGTTGAGTCACCTTCTTCCTTATCATCGCCACCTGAAGGGAGACGGTGGGGAGGAAGGAGAGAGGAACGGGAGGGAGAGTGTGTGTGCATGTTGCTGTTGAGTCACCTACTTCGTTATCATCGCCACCTGAAGGGAGACGGGAAGGGGGGGGAGAGTGTGTGTGCAGGTCACTAAGAAGTCGACTCAAAAGCCACCAACCTCCCATCTCCCTCACCCTCCCCTTCACCCGCTCGCATTAAAGCCGTGGCACCTGCGTCTTCATCTTCTTTATCGCCACCACCTGAGGCATGAGAACGGGAAGGGGGAGAGTCGAAGGGGGAAGGAGAGTTTCTCCATCTCCCTCACCTCACCCGCCCCTTCACCCACTCGCATTTGAGCCTATTTTTGAGGCGCCTCACAAAGAGAGTCGAAGGGGGAAGGTGAGTTTCTCCATCTCCCTCACCCGCCCCTTCTCCCCATCGTGCTCCTCCTCTCTCAAGACAGCCTACCCCGGGACCTCTCACTTGCCTCTCCCCCAGACAGTGCACTTTCAGCCCTACACGCCCCTTGCCTCCTTCTCCCAACCCCCTGATCCCTCTCACCTCTTCCAGAACAGCCACTCCCCGTGCACCTTCACCGTATCGTGTCCCACATCTCCCAACACCCCCTCATCAAAGCACCTCTTTCAGAGCACCATGTCTCCCAGCCCCTAGCCCCGTCACTCCATCTCCCACCCCCTCACCTCTTTCAAAATGGCCTCCCTCCGCTGCACCTTCTCCACATCCTGCTCCACCTCTGCATTCTCCTTCTGCAGCTTGCTCAGCTGCTCCTCATGGGACTTCAATGTCTGGGCAAACATGGGGAATGGGGAATGGGGGACTTAGAACCACGTCCTGCACCACCTCTGCATTCTCCTCCTGCAGCTTGCTCAGCTGCTCCTGGTGCGATGACAGGGTCTGGGGCCATGGGGGGATGGGAGAATGGGCGAGTGCGCAAGTGGGAGGACGGGAGTTAGAGAAACGGGAAAGGGGAAATGGAGGGATGCTGCTGGCCCATTTCCATCTCTGCATGATGCTCCACCTCCTGGTGCGAAGACAGGGTCTGGGGCTTTGGGGGGATGGGCGAGTGCGCAGGTGGGAGCATGTGTGAGAGAAAAGGGAGTGGGGCCACGGAGGGATCATGCTGGCCCATTTCCAATTTCGCATGATCCTCCACCTCCGCATTTCCCCCATATGCAGCTTGCTCAGCTGCTCCTGGTGCGATGATGACAGGGTGTGGGGCAAGGGATGGGGCAATGGAGGGAGGGATAAGGTACCTCAACCCCCATGATGCTCTTTCTCTGCACCCCCCCTCTGCAGCTTGCCGGCGGGATGACAATTTCTTGGAAAGAAGAGACACCCTCTGCAGCTTGCCTAGCTGCTCCTGGCGGGATGGCAATTTCTTGAAAAGAAGAGACACCCGGACTCGTCTATCTCACCGACTGCAGGCTAGCCAGCACATGCAGCCAGCACCTGGCCATCTTTTCAAAGAAGAGAGGGGGGAGGAGGGGGAAGAAGAAGAGAGCCCCCCCGACTCTTCTGTCTCACCGCAGTGCAGTCTGCCCAGCAGCACGCCCTGCTCCTCATCAAGCAAGACACGAAACTCAGCTACTTGCTGCTCTGTACACACATACATACTTAAAGCCCCTCTCTTACCACGGTGCACTCTGCCCAGCAGCACGCCCTGCTGCTAATCAAGAACCGAACCTCAGCTACTTGCTGCTCTGTACACATACTCTTAAAGCCCCTCTCTTACCGCATCCAGGTTCGCCACCACGTCCTGCTGGTCCTTGAGAAAGGTGTGCTGCTGGGACAGCTGGGGGTCACGGACGGCCCTCTGCGTCTCCTCTAGCAGGTGGACGGGCGACATGCCTGCATGGAGGCACCTACATACACGCTCTTACCACGCTCTGGGTTTCGTCTCACCGCATCCAGGTTCGCCACCACGTCCTGCTGGTCCTTGAGGGCCGTCGGTGACCCCAGGCACTGGTGACATACTTCAAGGCACCTTCCCGCAGGATTGCTTCTTACCGCATCCAGGTTCACCACCACGTCCTGCTGGTCCTTGAGAAAGGTGTGCTGCTGGGACAGCTGGGGGTCGCCCACGGCCCTCTGTGTCTCCTCTAGCAGCTGGATCGGCGACATGCCCGCGAACGCACACACACGGTCCTGGGGAAGGAACTGCGGGCGGGGGGAGAGAGGAGGGGGAGGGGGAAGGGAGACGGAGAGATGACTTTGGGCGGACTAAAAAGCAGCAGCTGGATGGGTGACACGCCTGCAAGCGCACACAAGCGACGCGATCCTGGGGAAGGAACTGGAGGGAGGGGATGGAGGGAGAGGGGCAATGGGAGGAGAAGGGTGGGGGGGGGGGGGGTGTTTGGGGGGCGGAGGGAGGAGGGAGGAAGAGGGAGCGTAAGTGTTGCCATCCATGCCTGCGAACGCTGACACACGGTCCTGAGGAGAGAAACTGTAGGAGGGGGGAGAGTTTGCGGGGAAATCGGCGACATGGTGCGAATGGAAATGAGAGAGTTGAAATGGCTCTTAGGGTCTCCGGGAGTCCTGACTGCATGTGGGAGAATTTCATGACTGCAGCACCTGTGTTACATGATCCTGGAGCACCAGCAACCCCCCCACCCACCCCCCTTCCCCCTTCCCTCCCCCTTCCCTCCCCCTTCCCTCCCCCTTCCCTCCCTCTTTGTTGCAGCCACATGTGCTTGCCCATATTTGAGGCGCCTCAAACAAAGAAACTGTGGAGGGAGGGAGGGCTCACCGCCTGTTTTTGAGGCGCCTCAAACAAAGAAACTGTGGAGGGAGGGAGGGCTCACCGCCTGTTTTTGAGGCACCTAAAAAATAGACCCCTCCCTCTTTGTTGCAGCCACATGTGCTTGCCCACATGCCTGAGTGACGATGGAGATCTGGATGTCGAAGTAGCCGCGTGCTCTCCAGCACCTGCGGTTGAGTGACCCTGGCTGGAGCAACAGCTACACCACCCCCACCCCTCCCCCCCGTTTCCTTCTCCCCCTCCCACATCCCACCGACCACCTGTATGCGTGTGCTTGCTTGCTTGCTTGCCTGAGTGAGGTTGGAGATCTGGATGTTGAAGTGCTTCATGCACTCCAGCACCTGCTCCCGCCGCGCACCCCGCCCTGCCATGAGGACGCAGAGAGAGAGAAGGCAGCATGGCGTGAGACATATCCCATGCGCTGAACAAGGGTGCGCCACGCGCACACCTCCCCCGCCGCATCCCCCTCCGAAGCAAGCCTCACGATTGGAGACTTTGAATCCGGATTCACCCAGATTTGAATATTGACGACTCGAAATATGGCTAAATGTCGAGGCTTTGTGCGTTTTTGAGGTACTAGGGAGCCAGAGCCCATCGAAAGGATCAGAATAGGTTTTGAAAGGGGCAATTTTGGGCCCGTTTAGGCAATCCGGATTTGAATCCGGCACGGGTTTCACTGGAAAACATCCTGAATTTCACCAGAATTCCGGAAGATTACCCTTCTATCATGAGCCCTGCTCCGGACACCTATGCTGATCTCCCTACTGCTGCTTTTAGGCGTGCCCCTCACACCACCCTTACCATGGACGAGCGAGCACCACTCAGTCCAGTGCTCGCTTGTTGTAACTCGCCTCGTGACCTGCACCTCCTCCCCGGGCGCATCCCTCTTCAGCTCTATGCTGATCCCCGCACTTCTGCTTTAAATAAATCCCATTGAAAACACGCTCAGCATGAGAGCCTCAAACGTGCTTACCATTGAGGAACCACTCAGTGCAGTTCTCGCTGGTGATCTTCCTCGTGACCTGCACCACCTCCTTCCCTTTCTCTCACTCACCCCTATGCTTATCTCAGCACGTCTGCAATGATGCACCACAGCACACACTCACCGTTGAGAAACCACTCGGTGCGGTTCTCGCTGGTGATTTGCCTCGTAACCTGCACCTCCTCCCCCCCCCGCCGCATCGTGCCTCACCACTATACTAATCGTCCTGCTGCTTGGCGCACCGCAGCACACACTCACCGTTGAGAAACCACTCGGTGCGGTTCTCGCTGCTGATTCGCCTCGTGACCTGCACCTCCTCCCCCGCCGCATCTCCCCGCAGATTTATGTTGATCTCCGCACTGCACTCCCCCCGCTGCACAAACTCGCCCACGTGCGCCGCCCTGCCCAGCATCTGCATTCCAGCACGGGGAGGGTGGGGGAGAGGGGGGGGAGGAGGAAAGGGGGTGTGCCTATGAATGCTATCTGTTCTCCCCTCGCTGCACAAACTCGCCCACGTGCGCCGCCCTGCCCAGCATCTGGAGACCAAGGAGGGGGGAGAGGGCGGAAGTGGGGGGGGAGCGAAGCGGGAAGGGAGGAGAAGGGACGTGGGTTGCTACCCATGTGACCTGTTCTCCCCGCTGCACAAACCCGCCCACGTGCGCCGCCCTGCCTAGCATCTGGAGTCGGAGAGGGGGGAGAGTTGGGGGGTGGGGGGGGGGGTTGAGGAGAAGGGAAGTGGGTTGCCACCAATGTGACCTGATCCCCCCGCCCTGCACAATCTCGCTCACATGCGCCGCCCTGCCCAGCATCTGGGGGGCGCAGGAAGGGAACACAGGGGCACGGAAAACACAGCAAGCGTGACACCAACAACGGAGCTCTTGCCCGATCCATGTGGCCCGACTATCAGGTTCAGTCCAGCAGCGGTACATGCTAGCACTGCAACGGTAAGCCTCACCTTGGGTTCGCCGCCCAGCCCGAGCCCAATGGCGCACACAAGCGAGCTCTTGCCCGACCCATTGGGGCCCACTATGAGGTTCAGGCGGGGCGAGGGGCGCGCTGAGATGGATGCGTAGGTCATGAAGTGGCGGACCTGCACCATTAGGATGTTGCCAGGCTGGAACCCGTCGACGCCTCTGATTGGTGGAAGGTGGGGGGGGAGGAGAGTTTGGGGGGGGGGGAGGAGGTGGGGAGAGAAAGCATGATAAGGGGTTGGCGAAAATAGAGGTGTGCACTGCCGGCAATGCCAACACAGCCGATGTTTCTAACTTCTCAGACAACTCTTACAAGGGGTTGTCGAGAATCAATTTGTGGGCTGCCAACAACGCCAGCACTGCCAATCCTCATCTTGGCATGGCACGAGGAGCAGCCAGCACTATCGCTTTTTGAAGTGCCTAAAAAAATGAGGCGCCTAAAAAATCAACACCATCTATTCTCACCGTGGCATGGCTCGCGGAGTAGTCAGCACTATCGCCGTTGTCGCCTCGCGGCGTGTCGGCATTGTCTGCGTGGGCGTGCCTCCAGGTCCGTCCCGACCCTCCCCCATGCCAGACGGCGTCACTGGAACCTCCGCATCTTCCCCAGGCTCGGCACGCCCCCGAGCGCGAGGCTGCGTGCTAGGTCCGGCAGCCTGCGAATCCCGAGCGTAACCGCCAGCCTCGGCATGGTAATCCCTAGCGTCGTAACCGCCATCACTCTCAACGACTTTCTCTTTGCCCTTATTAAGACGAGCGGCGCGAGCGATCTTTTCCCGCTTCACCACGTCAGCCTCCCGTTTCACCACCTCAGCCTGGCGTCTGGCCACGTCAACTTCCCGCTTCACCGCACCCGCGGCTCGCTCTCGCTTCACCACGTCAACAGGCGGCTGCGACGCGGGTATACCGCCGCCACTTGCGCCTCCCATCCTAAGCCGCTTGCTCTGACGCGTCCTACTACCATCGGAGCCGTTCGTTTCTGCTCCGTCTGCCTCTCCGCTCCTTCGCGTGCGTCGTCCTACCTCACCTCCCACTTCTTCTATCTCCTCTACCTCTTCTACCTCCCGCGCGTCCTGCGCGTCCTGCGCGTCCCGCGCGTCCTCGTGCTCCCCCTCCTCCTGCAAGCTCGACGACCGGGTCACTCGCCTCGCCGGCTCGCCTGAACGGCTAACGCGCTCTCGCTTCGGCGCCATGGATGGATATCGAACGTATATTACCTCGCGGCGCCTTCAAACTGGACCGTGGATTACTATTGCAACATTACAGAGCTCGACTATGGATTATGTTTGCGAGATAAACTGAACCATGGGGTAGTGCACGGCAAGAGATCCTAAGGAGCGGAGAGACGTGTAATGAAGCAGAGGGACATTCGCACAGCCAAGAGGAGAAACACCTAGCCAAGCAGAGAGAGGACCTCAAGCCAAGCGGAGAATTTAGAGGTCTCTCGTCTTAGTGGAAAGACAATGCATGATGCCTGTCAAAACGTTCTCCCTCAGTACCCTACCCAAACGTTTTAAATATTCAGAGAGCCCTTTTGAACGCTACATAACTCACTCAACCGCGCTATAGTGAACTTCTGTGATATACGAGTGTCTCACAATGCGACTTCCTGACGCTTCAAAGTACGAGGTAATTTCCCGCGTGTTTGATTTTGCCGCTTCGAAACACTTCGTCTCCGCAAGGACCAGGTTTGAAATGTGATACTGGGTGCGCACCAGACGAGAATGCGTTACCAAAGAACCGATATATGTACATAAATTGATCATTAACAAGTAGCAATGATACGAAGCTGCACAAGGTCCAATACCGTGCCTGCACTTATATCTACCAACCCTACTACCGTACTCGTACTGTTTAGGCCCTACCCTGTGCAGAACTAGTACTCGTGAGTCGTGGCATGATATCGATCGTGTACCATGCCTTGAATAGCCAACTTTGCAAATAGAGCATCTCATGCCTGAATTGGAATGGCCACTTTCATGTTAGATGGAGAGCAGTGGGCAGGCACGCTGCAGGAGAAGTAGAGGGTCGTGCCCTTGGCTGACACTGGCACCTTGTACCTGAGAAGTTTTTACAATGTGGTCAGCAGAACAAGCAGGCGATAGCTTGAATGCAAGAAAGGGACACAGCGAGCAGTCAAGCTAGCCAGGGCAGTCAAAGCTATCCAACGCAATGGGCCTGCTGGTGAGAAAAGTGCACATGCTCACCTGTATGTCCTTGAGTTGGTGATCCGTGTGAGTTTCTTAGCAGATCCAAAGTCACAGCTGTTGTACGCCTCTACAGAGTCCATGAGAACCACATCATGGGGAATGAAGCCCCTCCACTTGAACACTGCGAGAAACATGAGAAATTGTTGACACCCCCCAAAAAGGTAAGGAAAAATGGACCACAAAAGGGGTCAGCTTGTTAGGCAGAAGAGAAAACAACAAACCGTGGAACAAATCAACAGATGCTCACAACAAACTCTAACACGCTTCACGAGCAACAGCAGGGCAGAGAGGGGCCACACAACGAAAGAGCACAGCAAACTACACGCCTCGAGAAACAGTGGAGGGAGAGCGAGGCGTACAGAGCACATCGCCTGCACGTGCAGTGGTGGTGGGGCGCCAATTGTGCAGGTTGTAGCGCCACGGACTGCGCCCCTTGCCGCCCACCGTGATGACTCTGGCCTGTGGGGCGGCAGCATTGGACACAAGGGGAGAAAAGGGCGTGTGAGGGAGATTGCAAGACAGAGGAAACGCCCGGGGCGCCACTTGTGCAAATTGTGGCGCCATGGACTGCGCCCCCTGCCGCCCCCCGAGATGACTCTGGCCTGCGATCATGCATGGATGCAAGGCGAGAAGTGTTGAATCTCAAACAAAACGGAAAACAGGACAAAGAAATATAGAGAGGACTGGGATGTGGGGACCACAGAGGCACAGATCGCACCGACGTTGGAGGGTAGGAATCCAACACATGTGAAGGGTGTAGGATTAGGGTGGGTTCTGAGACACGGAGCGAATCGTACCTCTGCTTGGGCTGAGCCTGACAATCACGAGCCGATTGGCAATCAACCAGATTAATGGGTGGCCGGGCCAGCGAAGGAGAGGGAGGCGAGGAAACACGGAGAAAAGGAATCGCGTGGGAAGGAGGAGAGGGTAGAAGGAGTGAGTTCATGGATCAATCGAACACAAATTACACGACCTCAGTAAGCAAGAGAGCGCCATGAGTTCTGGAGGGAGAGGAAACGGAAGCGACGAAGTAGATTAGGGTTGGAGACAAGCAAAGTCTTGGCGAGGCGTCAGACTCCTGCGACGTCTTGAAAGCGAGCAGGAAAGACAGAGCAGGGGGGTGGGACGAGCGAGCAGGACGTACAGAGCAGGACGAGAAGTGCAGCGGCTGCAAGGGCGATAGCGGAAAGCGACCGAGCCATGGCGACAACGGACGACGAATCAGAACGGAGCGACGGTTGCCGAGAAACGAGTTTCCGAGGCTTGGATAGATGGAGACAATCGGAAGCTGGCCGTACGCCGGACGGTTGGGAGAAGTGGTAACCGGAGGACGACGAATGTCCAAATCGCCAAGCAATCAGATAGACCTAGCCACGGGGGAGGTATATTTCTTGCTTTCTTTAGTACTAGCGAAATGCTCTCAGGCGATGGTTGTGAGACCTTCAAGGTTTAGACGATGCTGCTGCTGTTGCGCCAGTGCACTTCAACTGCTGTCCGCGAGTGTGTCCGAGTATCTAAGTGCAGCACTTGCAGCCGTTCCGTCCTGGGGTCCTTGCTCCTCGATTGTGTTCTGAAGATCGTCCGAGTCGGTGCTACATACTACTTCCATGATGTGGTTCTCTCAGGGACGCGGCTTGTGAGCCTGGACGCACTTTCTGCGGCTCCACAGCACCGTGCTGCACCGTGCTGTGCACATCCCTCGCATTCCTCCCTGCTCGTCCTACACTCCACCGCATTTCACCGCATTTCGAGCGACACGGCTCTGCCTCCAAATTCCGGCCTGGTACGGTACGGCACGGCACGGTAGCGCCTCCATCCTACACAGCCCTTTGTTCAGTCCACTGAATGACCGACCCTAGGTTCTCTCACCGCACTTCTAGGAAATTCGGGGAAGGCTCATCGGAGGAAGGCTCATCGGAGGAAGGCTCGCGGAACGACCATGGGACATGGTAGTGTAGTGAAACAGCCCAATGAACTGTACTCCTGTAGTAACAATCTGTCAGGCATGCGCGAAGAAGCGGACGGCGTCACCCACCTCCGTTACGTCGCTCGAGGCACGTACTAACGCGTAACACCTGACACGTGGCGATGACGGGGCGGGTCATGGGACGGAATGCCGTCTTCACCCTCCCCAGTCCCACCCACATCAGTCAGGCAGTCTGGGTAGCATAGTGCAATGCACCAGAGCATGGTCAGTACGATACAAGGTGTGTGTTCGGGAATTGGAATCAAAACTCAGGCCTCCACGACAGGAGCAGAATGCTCTAGAATGTGGGCCAACTGAGCTCACCTCCCTGGCGAGATGCATTTGGGGAGAGCAAGCAAGCAGATACACCAGCAAATCCTAGTCGATGTGGGCTGAGCTGACAGTTCACTCCAGTGCGGTATAATGAGCTGCTTCACGATCACGAGCGTTTCATTCAAATCCAAAACGGCTGGGCAGGGTTCAGAGGTGAACAGAGGGCAGGAATGCACCAAAGTCCATCGCCAACAGTCCAGCCATCTGTGCATGCACCCACCAGGTCCCAGTCCCAGATGGACAAACTGTGTACACAGCGTCTCGCTCTGCTCCATGAAATTGGAAATCGAAATGAAAATGGAAATGGACGTCGCCATTAGAAATGAAAGTACACCATAAAATGTGTATTATTGGAGCTCGTATTGTGTTAATCGGCCGCGTTGAAGCATAGTAAAGTTTTCATTGTGTGGCTGAACTTGCTTACTGCTATGACCAGCCAAGCAAGTATTAAGAGGATGAAATATGAAGGGAATACAATTTCATAGTTAGAACGAATTACTAGAATGAGAGGATACAGTCGAGTGACCCGCTGGGTTACCCTTAAAAAGATCCTCGGAGAAGGGTCACAGGTGCAGAGCCTGGGGAGTTATGGGCGCACTAACCCGCTATTTAACAAGCCCTTTTAGCCCAATGGTTAGTGACTGGGTTTCTGACATGGTATCAGAGCCAAAGGTCTTGGGTTCTAGTCCCAGTGCTAGCGCTACAGAGGCGCTTGTGTCTTCCACCTATCCCAGCGCGGGGGGGTATCGAGTGACCCCCTGGGTTACCTTTAAAAAGATCCGCGGAAAAGGGCCACAGGTGCAGAGCCTGGGGGTTATGGGCGCACTTATCCGCTATTTAACAAGCCTTTTTAACCCACTTGTTAGTGACTGGGTTTCTGACAGATACTTGGGTATATAGTGTTAAGAACTTAGGATGCTAGGTCCCTAAAGTTAGGACACTAGCTTAGCTAGGATAGGAGCAAGGCCGCCATGGAACGGCGCTAGGAAAAACGGATCTAGGAGTAGGAGGAAAGTCGAGAAGAAAGAGAGTTGGATTAGGAAGAGAAGGGAGTACAAGGAGGGGTTTGTACCCCCTACAGAAAGGTTCAGTAGCAACCTACCAAGCCTATATAAAATTATAACTTATATAATTTTAACACACCCCCTAGGCTTGGTAGTGTCAAGCCCACTCACACCCCCACACCCGCACCCAACCCACCCCCTAACCCCGCACACCCTCAGGCTCGTGCTTAGCCGGGTATCTGACCCTCAGGCAAAGCGTTGACACACCCCCGTACACGAGGCAGCCGACGGCGTCTAGGCGGGTCAGCGACAAGCAGCCGCGGAGCTCTGGCTCAAGGCGGCTGGGTCGCCGACGACAGGCGGCGACTGCCGCGGCTGAGGGCTCTCGGCGATGTGGCAACGTCCGGGCAGAAGACAGCAGCTGCGACAGGAGGACGGGAAGACGCAGGGGGAAGGGAGAATGGGGGGGGGGGGTCGGGGCGAGTCTTCAGCGTCGCGCCATAAATGGCGCGGCGCTTACAGGCGGGACGACGGCGTCCTGGCAGGGGGCGACGGGGCCGGGCAGAGGGCGACGGGGCCAGGCAGGGCGCGACGGGGCCGAGCGGGTGCGACGAGGCCAGGCAGGGCGCGACGAGGCCCAGGAGGGGCGCAGCCGCGGCGTCGCGCTGACGTCGTCCCGGTCGCGTGTCGAGACGGCCGCGGCAGGACGGCGCAGCCGGCGAAAAGACGACGACGCCACAGCGTGACGCCGCCGCGGCCGCCATGGCAGCGTCGATGCCGCAGCGGGGCGTCGACGCTGCGACTGCAGAACGACGGCCCGACTCCGCGGCAGCGCGTCGGGCCGGTCGCGGCACGACGCGCCCAGTGGCAGCGCGACGTCGCCACTGCAGCAAA